CGTCAAAAACGGCTGCAAGACGGCTTCGGCTCTTCAAAGGGCTTGGGCTTGTCACTTCCTGCTTGATTTTGGAGATCTCTTCTTCCACTCTCTCCTCTATCGCCTTGACGCGATGTTCCAACTTGCCTAACCCTTCCTCCACTTCTTGTACCCGTTCGACAGCCTTTTGCAGTCCCTTCGTGAAATCCTTATGCATCTCTTTCAGCTCCCGTAGCTGCTCCGCCTGACAGTGTGCTTGCTCCCGTAGCTGTTCTGCCTGACAGCGTGCTTGCTCCTCTTGGCGGCGCGCTTGCTCTTCTTGGCGGCGCGCTTGCTCTTCTTTCAGCTCCCGCAGCTGTTCTGCCTGACAGCGCGCTTGCTCTTCTTGGCGGCGCGCTTGCTCTTCTTGGCGGCGCGCTTGCTCTGCCATCATTTGCTGCAGCTGTAGCAGAAGATCCACCTGCACAGGCTTGGCTTCTGCATCGCTGGTTTGAGCTGCAGCACCCTCTTCCCTCACACGCTGCGCTTCTGACATTGCGCGGGTACTCACTCCTCTTACGTCCTGCGGCACTAGCGGCATTTTTCTCCAATCCCACTTCTGACACCAAATGTTACGTGCCTGCCGTCACGTTCCTGACTATGCGGGCTTGGGTTACGGGATTGGATGAAATGAAACACTAACACCGGTTTTCAGACTTTCTATTGCACTTAAGTTACAGCGTCCACGGAGTTAAGTTATCGGCGTTCCTCTCCAGCAGAGTCCGGCCGACTGACACAACTTTGCCGTTCACGCTGACTTAACTCACTTAAGTGACTGCACTTCACTATTTCACTGCACTTCACTATTTCACTCACTTTTCTTCTTTCTCACTTCTTCCTTTTCTTCCGAATCGCTTTAGACTTAGAACTCAACTGCCAGCGGTGAGCCGCAGTTCCGCTTATATACCCCCGGTCAGGTTCTAGAACATTCAATTTCGTTATTCTTTTTGATCGTCATGCCTCCAGAACCTTCCAATAATTTCGTTATTCATTTTTATTTATTCTCCTTCTCGCTCCTTAATTTTTCATCACTTTCACTCAAATATTCCAGAAAGTTCGACAAAACTTCCATCAACTAAAAAACTTCATGTTTACGGCGGGACTCGAACTCGGGGTCTCTGTGGTGTAATCCACACGCCTTACCGATTACACCAACTCGTGTTGACAATTCACGACGAAATTTACAATCTCTAGGCAGCGTTTGACAACCATCCATTGACGTCATGATGTCAAAGAGTTTTCTGTCACACAATGTTAGTAATAACAAGCTAAGTTCAAAACAAACTCTTCCTAGTCAGAGAACTACCATTTTGCATTGGTAATAGCAGGGTCAAGTATGCATGTTAGCGTCAACCGCTGTACAGTTACGAAAACAACAACAATTTGCGGCTGTTGTTTGTACACCAGACATCAGCAACTTTATTTTTATAGTCATAAGATTCAAAATACACAATGTATTGGATGGAATGCCAGTGATTATGCGGGCGACGTAATGGCAAAGTGCGTAAGCGCCACCTCGTTGTGATACGTCCGGAGCGATAAGTGCGCGCGCGCACGGATACAGGAGAAACTTTCGTTTGTAAAATTCCATAAGGTTATGTTTTAAGGCACAGTTCTAAATTATTTTTGATGATTTTTATTGCATATTTAATAATATTGGGGTTATATAGTATCGAATTACCTACTGATTCTCTCTGAGACTCGGTAAATACAATGACTGGTTTTGGATAGGTTCTCCATACTACGAACCTTTCCAAATTCTCAGTACCAGATATCAGCCTATTTTAAATTGCGCGTGTGCTGTATGAAAGTGTAATATACTCAGTTCTATCATTGATTCCATTTCCATTAATCTTCGAATATCTAATAGAACATCGTGGTAATGTTAAAAATAGCTGAAGAGAAATTAAACCGCTATGAAGTCTTACTAATTATATCGCATGAACCGTAATTGCTAGAAACTATATAATCTTACTAAATATAGACTGAAGCTGCGATGTTTCTTACCTTGGCCAATTAAACTTAGCTTATTACGTACTTACCCTGAATGTATCTATAATTTAGGTAATGTAAAAATTAATTTATATATTTTTAAAGAAAACTTGACATAAAGAGATAATTATTTTGTCTTGTAAATACATCTAACAGGAGAAAAGACATCCATACCCCTGACTTAGTTTTCTCCTTTTATTTGCTAATCGTCCTCTAGCAAGCGTCTTTTTCTGTGAGAGATGACACCTTTGCACAGCGATGAATCTGGTTATAAAGGATTTTTGGCCCATTGACACCCTCCACACCAGAGGAGTTACAAGAGCGTTGGCACTACTCTTATAAACTATCCATTCTATACAGCAGGTTACTTGGTAAAAGTAATAATTTAAAATCTAAACCACTCAGCGTACCTAGGTCATTTCAATCACGCACAACTAATAGTACAAATAATACCTAATATTGTCGTTTATTATTTTTAATGTCTTTTATTGTATTGACTGGTACTTTTCCAATTTAGAGGTATGTTTAGAAAGGTTATGTTATTGACTAAGTATTGATTACCCATTGGCTATTTGCTTTGTACTAAGATCTTTAGGTTTGCAATTTAGTTGCAGCTATTCGATCGATCACCTAATTAACTCGCTATGTGATATGAATGAAGTATGCATGACACATATAAATTTGATATAGATATAAATGGAAAGAGATACCATTGTTTTGTAAACAAATCTATTGGTACAATTTACTTGACTATGCATCTGTGGATATCCGTCGCATGACTTTTCCCGCTTTGGGCGAGAGGAAGTTTCAAACAGAGTCATACTCATAAAAAAAACCACCCTGTTCATTTTCCTGCTCTAAGCCGGGGTCGTGGTACACTATTGCGCTTGCACCCATAACACCGGCTTTTTTTTTACTTGAGGTAATTCATTCGTTCCGTCTTGTGCTCTAGGCTCAAGGCCGCAGTGCCTCATTGCGCTTACCCCGCAACCCCGGCTAAATATCAGCCCTATAGGGCCCTGTCTGTAGTGGTCTATTGGGTCTTTGACGCGCGTGCGGTCTAGTTCTGGTCGGACGGGAGGTTCCCTTACTCGCCGTCCACAGATCCACGCTTACGGTGGCCGGAGATCATCTCTCTCACTCCTCATAAAGGGGTCTTACGATTTGTTTACATAACATATGTAGGTAATAGTTGTAACAGAACACCTGTATGTCTCAGTACGCAACTGTAACATTATCCATGTACTTAAAAGTGAGTACAATGCCCTCTGCACTAAGGGCCTCGTTGTAATTCAATATCTATAACATAAGTCCGTATTACCGTTATGCTAACATTGAGAGTCGCACGCCTGAGAAGCCTATGCATCTTGTTTAAGCAAATAGGACCACACAGACTAACTAAATGAACGTGCCTAGACGATGTAAAGAGCTACGGTACTCAGTTTTCCCATGTAGTTAACTTGTGTTTACCTTATACATACCTATACAGTTACATACACAAACAAGACATCTCTATGTACAAAATGTTCGGACATTTTGTAATGTTAGCAAAATAGGTTTGAGGAAAATCGCCTCGTAATTCGGGGTTTGGAAATTCCCAGCCATTTTCTCATTGACTTAGTCGATTTGCGTTTGGAAGCTTTTTATAGTATAGGTCGGCAAGCGAGCAGATGGTAATTAATCGGCGCCGCCCATGGACACCTGCAACACCAAAGGAGTTACGAGTGCGTTACCGGCTTTTAGGGAGATAAGGGTTTCGGATAGTTAAGGATTGAAAAGGGATGGGGGAAGTACCTATTGGGCCTCCGGTAACCTCACTCACAGTGCGAAATACCACGGTGAGGTTGTTTCACGTCGGTTTTCTGTGAGGCCGTGGTATCACTCCGGTCAAGCCGACCCATTCGTGCCGAAGCTTAGCTCTCCCACACAGCTTAACTTGTTGCTTGCAATAGCGGACGATCGTTTCGGTTTTTTAATCGTATTTTGCGCTGCGTGCTCTAGAATGCCTGACTAATCGAGTGTCAACCGGATAAAACAGGTTGTTTGTTATGTTCTAATATTCTCAAACGGAAGTATTTCCAAGTGAATCTGGCATTCTGGGTACATACTCTAAACTGGGCTAACAAGACGCAACAAGCTATCCATTTAAATGTCACTTTAATTAAAATTAAAAGTGCATAGATCGTACATCTGTCACATGTCTGTCGCACAAGAAGGCCAGTGGGACAAACAGAGTATGTTCAAATGGACACAACGACTATAACCCTTACTACTCACGAAATAAGGCACTGAAGCTTACAAGTGACGACGTAAACTTATTCGCTATTTGGCGACACGGGAAGTCGACAATTTACTTCCAAGTTCCACATCGCACTCGAATCATTCATCTGATACGATTTGAAAGCGATACTGCGTTTACATTGACTTCTTTAGACGAACGTGTGCATTCCACTTGTATATACGCTAATCAATGGAACTCAAAAAAATATATTTTACATACTTTTTTCATTCTTCGAGTCTTGAGTGAGCGAGCCTTGAATTGCTGCTGTGGGAATTTGTCGTATTAAGTATTCATCGTCAATATCCTTTGCGGTTACTTCCTTGACGTATTTGCGAATAATTTGCATATTAACGGTAAACGCTAATTATATTATTGTAATTTCTTTAAACTTGTTCGCAATAAGGTTTAGAATTTCGCACGAATAATTATGTGGGTTGATATGACCTATACGAAGTGCTACGGCTCGAGAATGTATTTTAAACTAGCTTGGTTTTTGTTCAAACGATAACGTGCCAAATAATTCTATGTCATTTGTGTCAAGGATAGAGTTCAATATGATTTGCGTCTGAAGTGTAATTGTTTGACTTGCTTTTAATTACTTGTTCGTAAAACTGATTTCATTTCACAGTAGAATTCTATTCTAGTAATGCAAGTCGGATATTATTTATAATGATAATGACGTTTAATCTTTTTCTTTTATTATTTACAGGCGACTGAAATTGAAGTGGCTCCGATCAACTCCTTGCTTGCTGGCTTCTACCTTCTTCTTGGACCTATAGCCTCGGCCTTGGCAAACAAGTAAGTTTTTATCTCGTTAACTAGATTTTACTACCTCAGTTTCCTTTCGTAATAGACGTCATTAATTTTCAAATGTCAAATAATTCGAAATTCAAAATAAACAGATAAAAAAAAATATCACGACTTTTAAAAACTTTAAATATGTAGGTACGTAGTTAGTGATGTCCTTATAAAGGAAGTTTTTTATTTAATTTTAATGCTAATTTATTTTATAGATACGGATTCCGAACGGTGACTATCCTAGGGAGTGTGATCTCCGCGGTTGGATTTGCCACTTCCTACTATGCCACTAGCCCTCAATATCTCTACGTTTCTTATGGAGTGATCGGAGGTATTAATATTTTTACAATACTCATACTTCGTCATTTGTTACTTGTATTTTATATCTTGCTCGGAGTTATCTAACTCTGATTAAAGAGAGTAGTGTCGAAAATATTTATGGTTTTTTCAAAAATTTTCTTTGGCTAAACTTACTTCTATAGAATACTGAGTAAAGAAGTGATTTTTCTGTTTATTCCTTCAGTAAAATGTATTTTTTTTTTTGTCATTTTTAGGATTCGGAGTTTGTCTGATATTTATGCCCGCTGTGCTGACCGTCGGATTTTACTTCGAGAAATGGAGGGCTCTCGCCACGGGAATAGCTCTCTGTGGCTCCGGAGTTGGAGTCTTTGTCATGTCACCCATTACCAAGTCGCTTGTTGATACCTACGGCTGGAGAATGACCATCTTCAGTCAGTCTGGTAAGCTTTGATTATATTAATAAATAAATATACATAAATTATGCACTCTCTGAAATTCTCACCATACTGCACCAGTAAGTTAAATAAGGAAAACATTCCAGGTTATTATATTGTAAAATTTATTTTCAGGCATGATGTTGCTGTGCATCCTTTTCGGATTAACCTTCAAACCAATTGAGCCAGTGCATGTTGTGGTAGAAGAAGAAGCTGCCACATCTGAGGAAGAAGAAGCGGAACGTAACAAATTAGCGGCAGAGAAACTTAAAAATATGATGAAACTCGAAAATAGACTTGACTCTGGCATAAGAATGCCACACGACATGAAATTCGCAACCAAATCTAGCCCTCACACTTGGATGGGCGTGTCTAATAACACGCGTTACCCGACAGCCGAAGAGGTCTTCCGTGGAAGCAGCACTGTCCTTAATGCGCAGCGACGATCCTCCGCTACTGCAGGAACGATTAAAAGTAATCTGGGAGCTAAACCCGCTTACGCAACCGTCAGTGAAAAAGACGAACAAGAAGACTCTAACTCTACTCCCGACAAGGCAACTCAACCTTTGATTGGATCCGTACTTAGAGTCATGTCTCACACAGACTACAGCCACCAACGCCGTTCAACAGTTGACTTAGTTGCCAGGCCTTTATACCGTGAGGACATCTTCTTCGGAGCTAGTTTGGCCAGGCTACCTCAATACACATCTCGAACATCTCTTGGATACCATTTGGCTGTCACACACGTACCGTCAGCTGAAGACGAAAAAGAAGAAAAAGGCAGATGCCAAATTTGCCCTGTAGCCGTGCGTAGAGCTTTGGCGACTCTTTTGGACATAAGCCTATTCAAGTCTGTAACTTTCGTAATTCTGGCTATTAGTGGTTTCTTCACGATGACTGGTTTCTTTGTACCCTTCGTATACGTGCAAAACAGAGCACGAGAAAACGATGTACCAGCCGAGGCTATTGAGTGGTTGGTGTCTTCGATTGGTGTAGCGAATATTGTTGGAAGATTGCTCTGTGGGCTGGTGTCATCTATGCCGAAGGTGTCCCCATTGTTGGTGACCAACATTGCTCTCACCATGGGCGGTCTCGCTACGATGCTGAGTAACTTGTGCTTCGATACCTACTTCCAGTACGGATACTGCGTCATATTCGGTCTTTCTGTGGGTAAGTTCATGCTTTTGTGTTTTCTCACATTTTGTTGTTAAATTTTTACGTTTACAAGTATTGTAGGAATTATCTGTTATTTCTATTTTTCTTAAATTCTATTTAGGTTAAATACCTAATATTCATTATGTTTTCAGCTTGCTTCGCTGCCCTGCGTTCCATCGTCGTAGTTGAATTCCTTGGACTCGAGAGATTGACCAATTGCTTCGGCCTCTTCCTTCTCTTCCAAGGACTTGGTGCTTTAATTGGATCACCTATTGCTGGTAAGATAATTTATCTAACCGAAAACTTAAAATTGTTTCAATAAGTTTTTCACCCATCTCGTGTATCAATGCTTCATCAAATTCTAACCTTCGATATAAAGCGAGTACCCGCATATTTATTAAACTTTATAAACGGGCTAATAATAGTCCAATAAAAAACTTAATGGAAGGTGCCTATTCCAATTCTTACCATTAATCCAATTCTTACTATTGTATTGATGTGGGTTTATCGCAAATGACTCTGTAATGTCAATTATGTAGATAATATAAAAACAATTTATTGTTTTTACAGGAATGCTGTACGATGCCACAAAGAGCTACGCTATATCATTCTACGTATCCGGTGCATTTATACTCCTATCAGCAGTTATGTGCTATCCTATTAATAGGATTAGTAAGTGGGAGAAGAAACGCGCTGAAGAGAATGAGAAATTGAAGAACACTCTCCCGACAAGTTTAGTTGACAAAGTATAACCGAAGAGACCAACTGTTGCGGACAACACATTGGTGCCAAATGGACTCTATTGAAAAATAGTTCAAGCAGTTTTGTAGCTGCCGGATGAGTGTGTTAAACGAAGCAAAGGTAGCTGGCATTCAAATGTACCGTCTGCCGAAGAATGAGTGTGCACTAATGCATGTGACGAATAATAAATGATGTATCTGCATAGTGTGAATACCAGCCTTATTCCCGTATTCATGAATGACCTTAAACGTAAGTGAATGCACTCGCTGCCATTGTAATGGTTTAACATTGCCTTGGCGCATTCGTTCATGAATATGGAAATTATTTTCTGTAAGACTCGGATTTTTTAATCTACATTTATTTACAAAATGTACCTAGTGTTATTTTAGTTGTAGATATCAGTGAAACTTGGAGAGATCAAGTTACATGTAATTAATATTTTAATTATTGTTTAACGTTTAACAGTCCTAAATGTGTACCTCGAATACGAAATTATCAATTAGATACATTCCCAATAGTTAAGGATTGGCCAAATTCAGTGAACCTTTAAGTGCAACGAGATGTTTTTCGAATCAAAATGAAATGAGAGTATCCTCCGTACTCGTAGACACTTGCCTTCTGACATATTATATGTTCCCATCCAAATTATGTTTTTGTATCCTTTGACCAGTCCTTAAATCTTTGTCAAAACTGCAAGAGACATTTGCTTTTGCAATGATTCGATTAAGTCAGATAAATGCATTTAAAATAGGTTTAGAGGTTTTAAAGTACAAAGACTCGAAATATAAATATTTTAGTTTCGCAGTTTTGCCTCATTTGGGGCCCATTAAAGGAGATCTGAAGCCAAAATGTACTTTAAATTTATAGTTGTGTTACATTTATCTAGATAATGTTTCGTGTGCCTAGTTGTTCTAATGCCCAAATACTAAAACGCCTCTCAATTATCCAAGAACGCCGTCGGAAATAAGTTCCAGTCCGGCAAGTGTTATGCACCTTTCTAAGATATGTAGTTATTAGGGCTTTGGTCCAGCTCTTGACCCATTCTCTAACAGCTTCAGTGTTAAGAGGTTTTATAAATGTATCCACTTCAGCGAAGAAGAAGATTGATCCATCTTGTCCATTAATAATGAAATCGAAATTTCTCTAAAATACATGACACCCAAGAGGGTGAGGAGACCATGCTAAACGGATAGATTTTGACATCTTTTCTATTTTAATATTGGTACAAAAGATGTGTTAAGACATGGGGAAAAGTATCTAAAGTTTATTGATTTAAGTCCTATTATGCTATGAGCATACTCTGTTCACCTGGCGCCCATGTACCTAGCTAATGATGTTATGTTACTGGACGGACTGACTTAATAGCAACTTAGAATTGAGTAGGGTTTCAGTGTTTGAGGCGTGAGTGGTGCATAATATAAGACTACTTTTGTATAGATGTAATTCGTTTTAATGGTTTACTGTTATCAGTACCGACTTAATATGTGACGACTGATGGTGAGAGAATGAAGGGTAAATTTTTTATTGTAATTGTGCCTTAAAGTGTGTACTAACTATATTTTTGTGGAAATATTAGTCTTTACATAAACAAATGAAACTCTCGATAGTTATTGTTATTATTGAAGATGTTTTATTGTAAATAAATTGGTAATATTTGTTCAAAATAATTGCACAATACATGCAATGATTAGTAGTAATCATGTAATATGTTACTAACGTATTCTATTTACCTAGTTTAAGGACTATTACTGTGGCTGTGGTCTTCTAGCGTATGTATATGCTTAAATTGTACTATTAAGAAATCATAGTCATTTATTTTCGAATCTTAAATGGTTGAAAATTCTACATATAAAATTTTTGTTTTGGCAATTGAATTTATTTATTTCAATCTTAGATTATGGTTATAACTATTTTAGAAGTTTCGTAGAAACCTATACATTTTTGTATATAATGACATGAATTTGTTAATTTTTTATAAAGCGAATACTTATACACGTACTTAACTATTCCTTCCATAGATATTATAAAGGATCGAGTACTTTCAAAAGTACAATGTTTTTAATACATAAATGAGAATTTATGAGATTTTATGATGGTGACTATGATTTTTGAGTTGTTTTTTATTTATCGATGCCACAGTGCCATATAGAGTAACATTATTTAAGGAATTATCAATAGGAACGCGTATGGACTATTGTCTTGCCGTAAATCATGACAACGTATAAATTGTCAATTGAAATGTCCATTTGATAACTGTTTTCCGACAAATAGTGCGTAGTACACTATAGTCTGTCTTGGCCCTTTTGAAATACACAATATTTGCCAAATAACCGTATATATTGTTTCATTTATTTAGCTCTTGTCCCAAGCCCTACAATTAACCTAGTCGTCGACGTAAATAATGAGCTGTGGTAAGTACATACATAAGTAGGAAAGCCTAGGGGTTTTCTGTCTACCCAAGACGAGGTATGTAGGTAACAAACTAGCGCTGGCGCTAGTGTGCACCCACTTTAGCCAAGGTCACTGTTAGCTGTTACTATGTTCATCAGTCACTGTGTCTTTCAGAGTGTCGCACAAGACCTTTGAGCGGTTAAAAAATTTGGTTAAATTTCTCTAAAACTACTTCCTTTTGAGATATTTTTGTATTTTAAAAAAGGTTTAATATGAAACAGTCCAGCTGTTGGTGATTTTTGGGTCGATGCGTGCTTTAAGTGCATATGTACCTTGGCAATCCAGTACCTACCTATAACGAAGTGCCTGCCTACTTCCGCTGCTCAGTCGAGACCAAAGAACCTAGGTACTTATAAGATAGAGGCTACACGGATTCCCAGAGATAGGGAGGGTGAGAGGTGGCGTTTTTGGCGAACATGCGGATTTTTGGGAGGGGAAAATCATCAAATGCCTTTCCTGGCCCAGGGTAAGGCGAGACGGAGTGGCAGACTCTTCCTGACTAAAGACCCCTGTTCGTTCTTCTGCTTCAGGCCGTGGCCTGGCGCTGAACCTGGCTAAACATCGACACTGTTGGGTGGGTCCCAACAGTGTGGTGTGTGGTGTGGTGTCTGTGGTGGTCTATTGACTCCTTGAGGCGCTCACGGAACGCTACACGCCATAGGTACGCTCGGGGCTCGGTCTCGGTTTTGGTCAGGCGGTGAGTTAACTTTGCTCGACGTCCGCAGTCCCGCGCTTGCTGTGGCTGGAGATCGGCGCTTGACCCCGACGCCCGGAGTGTATTCTGAGGCTGGGGCGTGAGGAAGTTAGTTCCCATACGCGTTTCGCCTCGTTCTTTGCGTTTTTCGCATTTCTGCTTCCAATTATAGGTAGTGTGTTGCGGAGCATGCCTGGCCCCCTGGCCAGTGAAGCCCCCTTCGTAAGGTCCCTCACACGAATATGGCGTCCATCGTGGAGCGTCTATTCGACCTAACCGATTCGTACCTACCCGAAGAGGCCGGATCGCCTCTTCGGGTAGGTACGGTCGATTTTTTTCTCTCTCAGGCTCGAGAGCCCCGAGGTCAGGACCCAAGCCTTAACAGGCAAGCAACCCATCTGGTCCTGGGACAGTATTCATGGTGCTCAATCGGCGCACCGCTGTTATCAAATCATCATCGTCATTGTTGTAGCCCGCATTGGGCACTAGAACATGGGGTACGACTGCTACTTTGCGATCGGTCCACGCCCCCGGTAGCCAACTCATCCTAACCCACGCTGTGGAAGGAACCGCAAATGTAGGTACATTGTACAACGTATTCACATTTGCGGTTCCTTACCAACTTGGGTTACGGTAATTTTCCCTCCCGCTGGCTATAGGTACATATATGGGGATTATGCGACGTCTACGGGCGATGTCTACGGGTTGGGTATTGGTTTTCATGGTACCGACGGCACGCAGCGTTTTCGCTTTGGTTCGCAGCACGTCATAATAATAAGGGAGCGAGCGAGCAGCGAGTGTGTGCAATCTTCTAACTAGATTCCCGCTCTGGGGACTAGAAGGAAAGTTATCACGTCAGCGCGTCGCAGTCGCGCGGCCATCTGGATAAAGCACAGAACCTTAAAATTTAAACGATTCAGCCTAAATTCTGCCTTACACTACAAAAATGTTTCGATTCTCAAAGGTTTTATGAGTAGTAGGTACTTAGTATTTCAGACAGTTCGCCACGTGCAACCTTCGTTCTACGTGCATCATTACGCCTTTTCAGGAGTAGGTATAGGTACACACGAGGAGTGCGGAGCGGAGCCATACTCTTAATTTATTAAGTATTTTAATATAAGTAGGTGTAAAAAGTGATGAAGAGAACATGAGGAGGGTATGAACTGAAGAATATGGTAGTAATAGAGGAACTGTAACTGTTCGGTTTCATTTTCACCCATGCACATTTGAGCCTTGCACAGCAAACCTATCGGCGGCGCTACTTCCGAACTAATACGACCTTTAAACCTCCAAGAGGTTGCAGAGTCCACTGATGTTAGTTAGATACTGGTATCTATGGGTGGCTTAGATACCATCAGGTGATCCGTCTGTTGCTCGTTTGCCCGCTATCAAATATTTTAACCAATTCTGTATTTTTACAGTTATAAATCTTGGCTCTTATTTCGATGTGTGTAAAGTAAAAACATACTTTATAAACAGAGCTTATCACGTCATTGCTGAACAAAGGCTTGTCCTCATATTGTTTGGGCATTAATCACCATGCTTGCTCAAGGCGGATTGGCGAATTCAAACTTATAAAGTTTGATATCAAAAAATTTGAAGTTATAAGTTTAGGTTTCTTCACGATATTTTTCTTCGCCGTATGACAGTATCTAAATAATCATAGAAAATATATGTATCTTGGAAAAAGTAAAGTTACCACCAATGCTAATGTTCTATTCCTACAACTGTAAGCAATACAGTAATACACACATGGAAAATGAGTGAAGTATCCACCACAATACATATACATTACGTAAGGGTAGTTAGTAATAGTATGTTTTTCAATCTGAATTCTACTCAAAATTACAAAGGTTATTTTCAAATAATACAAATATTGGCGCAAAAAGATGTTATATTTGCATATTATTTACAAAACATGTCTAAGAGTTGGAGTTAGGTCCGCGTCTGCGTCCGAATGTCTGCACAACGTTGACAAATCTGGAATTAAGAAAATATAATAGTTTAATTAAAATGTAATAGTAGGTATATAATTCATGGAAAATAAATGGAAGCTTTTATGTCAAGGGTCAATTTAATTTAAGTAGAAGTCATTGTTGTGTTCCAACTTATCAGACAATAAGGCAGCAATTAAATAAATGAAGTGGCAAGAAAATATTATTTTTTACATAGTTTTGGATTGAATCACAAAAAAAATGCTAGTAGTGCCACTACAGTTAGGTAATATTAGTGAGATGATATTGTCAAGCAACTATGATTTTTTAAATCTATTTACCAGCGATTAAATAATCCCAAAATCTAAAGTTTTAATGCACCCTCTTCCCTACCAGCAACAGGTAGGTCTTAAGTTACTTTCAGGTTGTCAAATAAAGGTACAAACAAGTTCATAGCTAACTCTTATACAGAGGTGAAAAGCTGGTATTCCTGAACTACCTATTTAATGTGAATGTACAGTAAGTATATCATTTAATTTTTAAACTGATAAATTGGCTTTCCAGATAAGGAGTAGACATGACATGAAATGGAGGATTGGAAATTCAATTTGGTTGTTGCTATAAGGTCAAATAATTATTTACCGTCTGTTGTACTGGATCCTACGCTTAGCACGGCCAGTCTTCTTCTTCTTCTTTTGTTGTTTCTCTACCTTGGGGGTCTGACCTTTGACTTTACCTGCAAGAAAAATAAAAGAACATATTTAAGTCACATTTAACCTGTTAGTATGTCTATTCAAAATAAAATGAACAGATAAACACTGGAGAAGGATGCAGATAAACACTTGTCTTGCATTCTTAAATAGGTTTCAGAAAAACAGTATCTATTGGTGGCTAAAAACCTGTGATTCATTAAATCTGGCAGAAATCTTGAGGTGCGAGTGAATTATTTTGTGTTTATCCAAGGCATTTGATTGCCTTCGTGGTACATAGATAAGAATATTAATTATTTTACAATTTTATCCCATTTTACGAGTTGCCTGTGCCTCATTGGCGCTTATTAGTTCATTTAATGCGATTAAAGTCTAAAAATGCGAAATCCTTGGTTGCAGAAGTAAACATATCAAATCGCGTAAACTGCTGCAGTTACACTGTAATGCGAGATAAATGGCCTTTTGCAAAACCAAGAATTCAACAAAAAATTATAATAATGTCTACCTTAGATGTTAAAAAGCTCAGCTATGTAAGGTAAGCTGTTAAAAAAGATGTATACTAGTTTATTTACTTTGATAGCATTTTGAGATTCAGTATTCTGTTGCCGGGGTATGCTTTACATTTAGCCTGTGCTTCTTCTGCAGAAGTTTCTCAATCAATTACACTCTCTTAATAGTCTTTGACAGGGGACAAAAACTCAAGTTGAAGGATAATCCTCTGCCAGCATTAAATACCATGGCCTGATATGGTGTATCAATGTGTCGATGTTATTTATATAGAAAATTTTGCTTTTAAAACATTTGTAAGAATTTTGTTGTATACTTACAAAAACAGTTTAATTAATATGTATTAGTGATACATAGTATACAATGCACATGGAAGATGGAAATAAACCTTTTTGATTGGTTAAGTTTGTTTATCTAAACTAATATTATAAAGAGGTTAAATTTGTAAGTTCGTATGTAGGGGGTAATCTTTGGAAACACTGGTCGGATTCCCAAAATTCTTTCACTTATTAATAGCTACAATGTTCCAGAGTGCTATAGCTTATAAAACAACATGCTCCGATCAAATGGAGCTGAGCAGCGGGTAAAACCGCAAAAGAGCAGCTAGTTGGTATATATTTTGATTATGTCATTGTTTATTTAAAATGTAATTCAATTATTTCACTGTTCTCAATCTCACGAAATGTTTTTCTCATAAATGTAAAGAACTTGATTATAGGGAACATGATTTTAGGATTTAGATTACTTGTAAATTATTAGACAGCATGTCTGTCTTTAATAGGATTGTGGGCAAAATGATAAAAACTTCTTGTACTTCTTTCAATGATATATCTGAAGATATCATTTAAATATCACTAATTCTATTGACCTTATTGGAAACATACAGAACTAATATTTTTAACTCTATATCACATCAAGCCGGTAGGTAAAGAACACTCTGTGAAACAGGTAACTCAACAATTCCTACAATTTTCCAATTCCCATATTTATCAAGACAATCAAGCCTTACACATCAAAACATGGGATGTTGAATTGTCAACTTATCATTACAAACTCGTTAGATAATTTTCTATCTTATTTGTTTTTGGGAATAATCTATATTAGTAATTATTAATATTAATTGTGGGACTTACCAGCACGAGCCAGGGAACCGTGCACTTTACCACCAGGAAGAGATATTGTTATATCAAGCTGGTTGGAAGCCAATTCTGACGCCAAGCATGTATCTTCTACAGCAACACCATTGACCCACACTGTCATTAACTCTTCACTTTCATGGTCCGCACTACGAAGGCGGTTCTGAAACACGAGATCAAGAAACCGATCAACAAATTGTCCAGTGATGTTTCGACATAACCTATAAATTATTATTATGATCACAAACAGATTTTTAAACTAAAGTGTTAAGTTATTTATTAATAGTAAAAATTAAAACATTTATTAAGCTAAAGTATTGTTTATGTCTCTGAAATAGTTATAGATCTGATCAGTGGTCGAGTAAAACACCATGATTATCAAGTGGTTAAGTTTCGGTAAATAGAAAAGTTCTTGCGATTACCTTAATCTGGGCTATCGTCTCCTGCCCATCAACGTCTAACACCGAGGGTGTCAATCCTGAGATGAACAACTGCATTTTGAGAGTTCTGAAATGGAAACGTAATATTCAACGGCGTGGTCCAAGAGCACTTTATCAAACTTTGGATTATATACACAGAGAAGGACTATTTAGCACATTTTTTAGATTTGATATCCAATAACAATAAAAATACTAACACTGTAATCGTGTTTTTAGCAAGAAAATTACAAATATTAGTTAAAAAATAGGAAACACGAGAATACTAACCTTATCAGGCAAGTCTGACAAGCGAAAGAAAGAAACTAACAAAGATGGTGGGAGGAAAAGGAAACAGCAGTTCGATAATCGTGTTTTAGTCGATTCTAGTCTATGGAAATTGTTAAACCAATTTTTTAAGCACGTACATACTGTTTTTTTTAATGATTAATTTAAAATTGTGTTAATTTTGGGTAATCCCGACCCAGCAAATTACATAGGACTTTTTTACTTTCGTCGAAGACGAAAGCCGACCTTGATAGACGTTCTTCGAAAGGAAAGATAGCAACTTTCTTAAGATGTCAGATCAATGAGATGAGTGTTAATCGAAAAAGACAACATGATTGTGTAAATATGAAACATGATAAGACAAAAGATAATAGAAAAACGATATGATTTTTTTAAGGTTTTGTTTATGAGTTTATTTATTATATGGTTGTCCCGTAATGCTTACAAACGTTTCTGTTTCAGTCTTTAATTCTCGGGCAAGTTTGATAAGTATTTTCATCGTATCCTTTTACTCATTAGGACATGCTCGAGTTTCCAAATTCACATCTGAGAAACAATTTGGTTTTATTAATTTGCTGTGGTCTTGTCGTATGCTGTCACGACAGAACTCGCTGCGCGAAACAAGTGTGTCTTCAGCTTAAGGCTGCATTAAAGAACAACTATAGTATGCAGTAACAAACTATCTAATTTAGATAATATTATAATTAAAATTAACATAGTCGACATTCATAAAAGAAAATTTTGCATTTATCAATAATTAACACTGAGCAAATAATCACTACGTTAATTAATTAAAAGCAACACAATAAAAACTTATACCTTAAATTATTGTTTCTTTTTGAGAGATAAATGAGGATCTCGATTGTATGGCCGGCTTTATATTAATTATGGGCGAAAAAAATAAAACAGATATATGACAATAGTAAATAGTTTTCTAAACGTTGGCAACCATTCTGTCCACCCTAAAGCTCGTGATTGGCTGTCTGAAAAAAGCGGCTGACTGTACCGTGTGATCTGTCTGATTGTGCTGTGATTTCTTTTGCCGAAAAATGGTTAAATAAATTAAATTGTTACCACGAATATTTATTACTCCTCTGTTAATTCTTTATCATGCTGTCTCAGCTGGTCCGTCAGGTCTTGTTTATATTAGTACATTTGGTTGTGAATATACTTGTTGCTGTTCAAAATGTTTATTCCCGATTCCGGAACAAAAAGTGCTTTCTAGCTCCAAATATAGTAACTAAAAGTGATATTAAAGTTATATTAGAACATTTGCCGAGGGTTACCAAGAAGCTCAAACATTTAGTGATACTGACGGACACAGACCATCATTCGCTGAGTGATCTGGCTCGCATGGTCATATGGAGCCTCGTAGCTGGGATATCCTACGTGAGCTTTTACGATATAACAGGTAATATCCTTTGAGGAAAGCACCATTAAGTTTTCTTAATAAATTTCACGTCATAATACAATCAAGCCATCTTTCATTAACTAGAAATAAAAAAAACAACACCTAACAATTTATTAAAAATATTTTCAAATCGGGTAGTACGTAAAACTGTCTCGCAGCATAAGCTGTATTGTAAGATTTTACGCTATATTACTACACAAGCAAGTCTCAGATAGAGATGATGTGTCTTGATGTTAGATAACACAAGATTGATGAAATATCTACTTGATATTTGCAATACTATGTACCTACTAAAATATTGAAAGTCAAGTAGGAGTAAATTATACATTAAATTTATCGTTAGTTTCTAATTATTAATATTCAAATTATAAAATTTATTGTTTCTTTCCAGGAGAATTAAAAGAAAATGAAGAAAAACTTTTCCTTGAAGTGGAAAGAAATAAAAAAGGTGTGCCAGGTTGCATTAAATGGGGTCGAAAGCCAGACCTAAATGGTTACACGAATGGTATGCAAGCCCATACTGTGTACATAAATATTTTTAATAGTATGGATGGTAAACCATATGTAGCGCAATGTATTCGCCAGATAGCTGAAGATAGACTTAAATGTAATAGAGAATCAGATGAATATACAGCACAAGAATTAAATGATGCTCTAATGTTAATGTACCCTTCCATTCCTGATCCAGAATTAGTTTTATATACTGGTCCATTATGTCTCACTCATGGGTTACTGCCATGGCAAATAAGACTATCAGAATTTATACAACTTTCATTAGACCATAGTGTAAGTATTGATAATTTCATAGGAGCATTGTTCAGATACAATAAATGTGATCAAAGGTTTGGTAAGTGAGGTTGGGTTAGCGACAATGATAGGCCTAAGTTTAATTTAATACTGTTATGCCAATGTTGGACAACATCTTGAGTGTATGTATGTGTGTATAGGTGCTTTAATTAATTGACATCATTTCATTCATGGAAGATATTTAGTCATTTTACATTGAATGTATCCATATTCTTATCATTAGCCTGGCCTATATGATTCATATAAATATATTGTCATCAATATAATTTGGTATATTACAAAAACTATGTTGTCTTTTGAATTGTATAGAATTTAATTTTTATATAAAAATTAGATTGTACTACATTACAAACAGTGAGCAATAACTAGATTGATTGAAAGTGAAATATTTATAATTTTAAATAAAAATTATTTAAACTTAACCATCTCAGATTTTTCATTTAGAGCTATAAATTTCTAACGGCTGAAAAAGAAATATACACTGTGATGCCTTTATTGCTGTAGTATTAAAATGGTGACTGCCTACCACAAATTATATTATTATCACCAGGCACACAAAAATATCCATAATAATATATTGTATGAATATATCTTGTGTATCTTTTTAAATTAATTAGTTTTATTAGCGGTTTTTACACCATAAGCATCATTGTAAGAATCGCTGGATTGGCTCAGGGAACTCATGACCTAGAAAATACTTTGTAGGTGGTATTTGTATCGCGTCATAGTGGTATTCTACGAAATTAATGATTGAGTAATCTTATCCCATTGTCCTAGTTATGACTAGTGGGAAAGTCAGAGTCGAAAAAGCCTTCAAATATGTAAGTCTTTACCATTATTACGAGTCCACAGGCTCCTGGTCATTTGGGAGGGGCACGAGAGGCGAAACTGCGCAGAAGCCCTTTAGACAGCTTTAAATTTAATGGGACACAAATTGCTGTCCCTATATGCACCCGAAGACAGTCCCCAGTTAGTGTAAGACTAGCGGATAATGGAAACAAACGATTAACACATTCAGTGCCCCCGACGCGTATGTGCGTTTGCTAGCACGCACATACGCGTCGGGGGCACTGAATGTGTTAAACTGTGGGTGTGGGTTGTTACGGACTGGAATGATGGAACTATGGGAGCACCTAGCACTTGCACCTGCCGAAACATTGTAATTTATGGCAGGTGGAGGCTCGACTCAACTCACTGACCAGAGCCCCTGGGAAAAGTTGCTAGAAATAGTAACAGAGGGTCAACGACAACGAAAATTATTATTTTTTAGGTACATAGATAGCCATGAAGGTATTCCTCCAAATATTCTACCCAATTCACTTAGTCGAATCGGATGCGCTATTATGCCAATAAAATTACGTAGTCTGAAATTATAAAGAGGATTTTAATAATATAATCTAATTAATCTAGCATTGTTGAATACGCCTTGAAAACTAGGAAAGTTGATAAGTATGAGTATTCTAGAGTAGTAATAAAGGTTTATCCTTTTTTAATCACTTGTGTGAACGTCGCGCAACGGTGATTTCAAATTAATGCGGGTACAGGCCATGGTTCCGCGTATGTGAGCAGAAAAAAGATTTTATTTAGGTCAGAAGTAAAATGAAACAATAACGGTAAGTGTGAAGTGTTTATTAAAGTAATACGGGAATAATAGTGCACTCTAAAATACTATACACAAGGGACTAATATTTACATCTTGCACGCACTAATGATTGCTCCCACCTGCAAGAGAAAAATAAAATAATATATCACAGCCTTATAGCTTTTTTGATGTCAGAAATGCATTTGGCAATTTATTTAAACAGGCTAGGAAAACTGATAACTCCTAAAGAGACGCTAAAGGACGGATGTTCCCTAATGTGTAACGTATTAACGTCTCTGACATGATAAATGTTTTGTGATTGTTATCTAACGAAATGGAACCGATAGATAATAATGGTACAACCGGATATTGTGTCACGTCACGGATATTTTATTTTTAATTTACTTACAAGTTATATTTAAACATTTAGTTTGATTTGTAGAAATTTTTACAATGAAGTACAGCGCCTTAATTTATTCAAATGATATGTAATGAGAATACTTCCGCATAATATGTAGATCGTATAAGTTCAATGCTAATTATAAATATATGTAACCAAATACATAACTGTAAAGATATAAGTAGGAAACTTCTAATTGTTATTAATAGGTTTAACGAATCATTTTAGCCCATACTAAATGTTCTGGATGATAATAATTATATTTTCTAAAGATTAACTACATTTCTGACATCAGCCTAATATTTATAGTAGTTTATAAGTATATAAGTATAAGTAGCAGGTACGTAAAGAGCTCGAGGTAGACTTGTTATAAAAATAATATAAGTACATAATAAATACTAATATAGTATGTTTAGCGATTAAATCGTTCTTTTGTCTAAGTTGAACACACAAGTTAGATAGATGGAAGTACAACCTGTTCGCTGTGTAACCTGATGTTCACCGGCGGTGGCGGGAGTGACTGCCGCTGCGCGATCGACGCCGGTCGTAGTCCCTAGACCGCTCATACCTATCGTACTTGTCGTAGTCTCGGCCCGACCTGTCGTAAGACCTGTCCCGCTTGGAGCTATCCCTGTCGTAAGACCTCTTGTCCCTCTTGTGTGAACGCTCTTCAGACCGATCCCGCGATGCCTTCTTGCGTCCCGAGCGCGATTCGTAGCTGATGGAACGCGACCGCTTCGTGCGCTTCCTAGGACGCTCGTCCTCGGAGTCATCACGGTATTTATGCTTGTCGTAGTCCCTACTCCTAGAAGATTTGTGTCTGTCGTAATAATCATCTTTTTTCTTGGACCTAAACTTGTCGGATTTCTCAGAGTCGTCGTAGTATTTTGATT